ATATACATATGCATATTATATGTATACTCTATTTGTTTCTATTTGAGAACACTTGATGGTTAATCAAAATAAAATATGTATTTCAGTGACGATAAAAAAAGAACTGAAATCAGACGCGTTTCTGGTTTGTTTCTGTCGAAACTTTAACAGCTTTAAATCTGCATCTTCGCTGGATAATGAATGCATTAAATTGACGAGCTGGATATAAACTGATGCTAACAATCGTGACATGAAACATTTGTTTCTGTCACACTGTTTTTAACCAAATAATGTCCGCGTCCTCTCAGCATTTACAGCAAACATACTTCTGTTCTTTCTCTACAATGCAGCATCTAGATAACAAATGAATGACTTTATGATGATATGAAAACATGACCTGTAGTGTACTGTTTACCTGCGGTTTCGTGTTTTAAATCGGCATCTGAAGAGTCCCACTCCGCGTGGTGTCACGTGCCAAAATCTTCTCAGCCGCAAACCGGAAAAAATATCGGCATTGATTTTTGCCGATAACCGATAGTTCCAGCAATCGCCTATCGGTGCCGAATAATCGGCAAACTGTTGATATAATATTATAGCTTTTGTTAATATTTTAGATTTTTTTTTGTATGGTCTGTTTTAACTTTCATTTTAGTTAAAGTTTTAGTAATTTTGTTGTGTTTTTGTCTCTTTTTGTCTTTTTAAAATATGTCTTTATATTTTTAGCTACTAATAGTTTTAAATTATTTAGTTTAAATTATTTGAGTACTTCAACTTTAAAGAAAATGAGAAAGGTTGCCTTGGCAAATAGCTTAAATAAAATAAGTTTAAGTTTTTGTATATTTTATTTTATTTTCAGTTAACATTTATTTTATCTGAAGCAATTTAGTTTTAGCATTCTATAACAACAATTAGTCCAACGCATTTGCAATTGTTAGTAAATAAAAAGTAATTAGTGGCAGCACATGTGAAAGCAGAGTAAAGAGTTTTTGTTGAACGAGCATTCATAAGAATACAACTCAATATGAAACATTTGTAAAATACTATGTTGTCAGGGCAAGCAATATGCTGTAGATAAAATTGTGAGGGTCATATGATTTTACAGTTTATTAAAGAACACATAACAGTTTTTAGTTAAAGTTTTAGTAATTTTGTTGTGTTTTTGTCTCTTTTTGTCTTTTTAAAATATGTCTTTATATTTTTAGCTACTAATAGTTTTAAATTATTTAGTTTAAATTATTTGAGTACTTCAACTTTAAAGAAAATGAGAAAGGTTGCCTTGGCAAATAGCTTAAATAAAATAAGTTTAAGTTTTTGTATATTTTATTTTATTTTCAGTTAACATTTATTTTATCTGAAGCAATTTAGTTTTAGCATTATATAATAACAATTAGTCCAACGCATTTGCAATTGTTAGTAAATAAAAAGTCATTAGTGGCAGCACATGTGAAAGCAGAGCAAAGAGTTTTTGTTGAACGAGCATTCATAAGAATACAACTCAATATGAAACATATTTGTAAAATACTATGTTGTCAGGGCAAGCAATATGCTGTAGATAAAATTGTGAGGGTCATGTGATTTTACAGTTTATTAAAGAGCACATAACAGTTCAACCCTAAAAAGCTACTGTATCTTAGCTTTACTGTATGAATTTCTAAAGCCTCTAAATGATCACCATGATCAAAACTTTGAATAATTTTTTAGAAAAATCAGTGCGTCTCAAATCTGATCCTCAGGATCTTTTGAGGAGCGTTTGTTTCCAGAAGCTTTACTTTCACTGTTCCTCAGCGGAGGAATGATCTTCTCAAGCCTCCAGAACATCTCACATCTTCTGAGGAGCCTTTATTTCTTCAGCTCTCAATCACTGCATTATATGTTTGGAGCATTTCACTCTCATCTCACTGAGACATGTTACTGGAGATATAGAGCGACCGCTGATATTTATAGCATTTTATGTCAGTATCTGATGTACTGTTAGAAAGATCTCACTGATTTACATTACAAGCATCAGAATTACATCATATAAACATCAGCATCTGCAGCAAATTGCATATTTTTTCTCAGTTTCAGTGTCTGAATAAAACAGCTGTTTTTTCCTTCATATTCTCACTTTATCAGACTATATGAGCCATAAAAGCCTGATGCATCAAGTATGATACAAAGCACATGGGGATTTCTTTATTTCAATAATGTTTCTAAAGGTTTAATAAACTCACCTGAAAAATCACTGAATGGACAAACACATGAGCTCTGCTGTGCATATCAAACCCCACACAGTCTGGCAGCCGTGTCTTTTTTGTTCTCTGGCCAAACATTTCTAATGCCAAACATGTAAATAAATGCATACAATTACACACTGTGTTTCTGAAAACACTCCACGGTGTTATTTGAGGTAACATTTTTGGATAATATCCCAGTGTGTAAACAACATTATTTGAATAGTAATTATGGCTCCAAATTTGACTTTCATTGAAACCAGTGCTGTTCCCTATAATTATCAACCAATTAGGCACATTTTGACTTGCAAAGCAAGGTATGCTAATTGCAATATTCATTTAGATTGTTATATATTAATGAAATTATCTTTGGCAAACATCTGCTTTATGATTCGATGTTAAACGGGGACACGTCGCTGTGGGTCCGTCGAGTCTGTGGAGCCAGATCGAAGAAACAGAAACCAGGGAACAGGAACCACCAGGTGAAATTCATTGAACAAGGTTTCATAACTCAGCACACACTTGGCAGATTAGAGGCGTGCGTGAGGTTCACATTACTCTGAATTGTGCCGTAAATTTTCTTTTATGATGCCAGGAGGATTTGCAGCTACAATGAGCCATTTCTACACTGCCATATTTACAACAGGAACATTCAGAGTACTATGGGAAGCCAATATGTTTACTTTGGATGAGAGAAGGTATTCCCTGCTCCATCGCAAGTTATTACTATACCTAGAAAACTTCAGGGCATCCCAGGACATGTCGCAATCTCTCTCTTCTAACAGAAGGACTTTAAAAACTCTCATCAACATATTCAAGTTTTACTCATGTGCTGTAACTCTGAATGACATCAAACTGGATGGATTCCCACATCATTCTACCGATTTTTCCCTTCGGCCTCCTCGATCGGTCTACTAAACGTCTGGCAGCTAAAAAACGCTTTTGATATTTGCCCCTCCCTGCCTTTAAGGTCACACGGGTTTGCTTTCCACCGCCTGCGGCAGGCGTCTTTTGAAGCCCACCCTGAAAAACTATAAGGAAACCATCTGTTAGGACATTAGAGGAAGTCCCAAATGGTCAAAGCATGATATCCAAACAGTCCTTCATCTTCTAGCTCCCCCCGTATCTCAGCATGGCCCTGCGTCTGAGCTGGAATGAGCCAAGGGGCCCCATCCATGCTGGAGGCAAACATCTACAACATCTCAAACGCTATGTGTATTTGTATGCAACAGCGAGGACGAGGTCATTCATTTCACCCAATGTTATCATTTAAGGAAAGACACTAAAGACACAAACATTGTTTTGTAATGCACTGGTCAGTTTTGAAATTTCGGGCTATTTGGCTCTTCCTAGTGTTTGTTTGATTGCACTTTATATATTTGTGACTGTGGATTCAATTGAAATCTTTGAAGGCAGTTTTCTAAAAAAAGTTTTTCCTCCACTTCAGCAATACTTACATACACCAACATTTAGAGTTTTATTCCCATCTATATTCTGAAGGTTTTTACTGAGGGGTTTGTTCATATCTCATTCACTTGGTATATAGTTTATATTTAACTCCTGAAAACATGGCGAAAATGTATTTTTTCTGTCTGTTGACAGTATTTTTTTATTTATGGAGTGATAAAAAGAGAAATCCAAAATCCCCTCAGTAAAAATCTTTGACTCCAATATGTCAACAAAGTCAAATAAAAATTTTGAACCTGGCTTTATCCAATGTTCAGATTTATTTTCTGTAACTTTAAGAAAACGGATGTATATTTAATTAGATAATGCATTATTTTGCATATTTAAACAGAACATTTCAGGAAAACTTTTAATACTAAAAAAACTTGCAATTCTTAATGGAATCAATCAACTGGGTAAGTATGGTGACATCTATTAGTAATTTTTTACTCTATTCATCTGTAGTATCTTGCCTTACTAAAAAAAAACCCCACCAAGTTTAAACCAGGTTCTAGACAAAATTCCACTGAAGATGAACTCAAATGCTTAAACACTGCTTGTGTTGTGAAAGAAGATTTCCTTACAAACATTTGGCAAAGAAAATGCTTGCGTAATTGGTGTTGTGCACTTGAAAAAGTGAAAGAATTCGACAGAGTTTCAAATGTTTATTTTTGTGTCACTTCTCAATGCAAATCATGACAGACACTGAACTAGAAATATAATAAAAAGACAACTGTAGAAATACGTAAGTGCTTGTAAGAATTGACAGACAGCTTTTTGGTTAAAAAAAATCAAAATAAATAGCTTCAAATTAAATGCAGTCCGTGCTAAATCATATACACTCAGTTCTATACACAAGTGAGCCTTAAAGACTAATTATTTCTCCTACAGATTATTTCTCCTATCGATCTTATGTTCAATATTATACAACTTATCTAAGTGCATTAAGTGAATCTAACTCTATAATACAACAGTCATTTAATTACTAGGAACAACAACAAATCTTCCGCCATGAAAGTTCAAACAAGCAGAGAGAGAAAAAGTTAATTTATCAAAATCATCAGATGACACAGCATTACAAAAATTAATTTCCAGTACTTAAATTTATAAAAATGGGGTTTTTGGGCAAGCAGATGGATTTGATTAATGCGTCCTATGTCCACAAATGTTCTTTTACTTTAACTGTAGGGCAACTCTTATAAAAACCTTCCAAGTTGATGTGAGCATTTCTATTCAAGCTGTAGAAACATATCTAACCTTGTCAAAGCAAACAGTCTGGGTACAAAAAGCTGTACATAAAAGACCGATTCTTAGAACATCAGAACAACTATTTAATCGTTACTTTACATGATGGGAAAAGTCCTACTGGATGAACTCTTTCAAAATGTCACAGGTCTTTTTGTTGATGACCTCACGGAGCTTACGGACGCGCCGGGTGCTGGAAAGGACGATGAAGCTGTCGGGCTGCAGGATGGCCATACCGTTGTTGACGTCCCCCATGATGATGATCTGGCCATCGGAGGAGGTGACGTTCGGACACGGACAGGCCCAGTCCATGTTCTGCAACGTCACCTCTAAGGGCTCATTCCTCAAAAATTTCAGCCCCATTTTCTCATCCTTCAGGATCTCCTCCACAGTGATCAGAGCGTGACCCGAGTCTTGGTCCTCGGTCAGCTCCGTCATGCGTCCCAGAATCACGAAATCACTTTTGCAGAAGCTGGTCACCATCTTGTGCCGTGGCTTGCACAGCTTGCAGCGATGGCTCCTCAAGAACGGGCAGGTGTCCTCGCATGATTCTTTGGTTTTGAAGTTGTTCTCGTTGCCTTTGCAGCCGCCATATACGAACAGTTGGCACCGGTGCTGGGAGCCGCTGTAGGCCCAGCGAGGTTCATACGCCTTGCAAGGTCCCTGGTAGATGGGAAGGTTACAAGGAGAGGCGAGTTCATCCTGACAGGACGACACGCAGGTCTCATAAGCGTCAAAGCGATTGCGGTTTTTGCTGCAGTTGCCGTAGTTAAAGGTGTAGCAGTTGTTCCTCTGGGGGTCGTAAAACCAACTCAGCTTTTCCTCCCCACAATCTTCACTATCAGGCACCTTAAAGCACTCCTCTGCCGGGAAACGTGTTGAGTTCGACTTTGTGACTGGCTCTTGCTCAAGTACGGACAGTGGAAAATGTGCTCGGATGGATCCGCCAGCATTTGTGGCCGCGCATGTATAGACACCGGCATCATGCAATTGAGCGTTGTAGATAACCAGCTGGCCGATGTTGGTGACCACAACATTCCCATGCACGTGGTTGGGTTTCAAGATTACGTTTCCTTGCCTGTCCATCTGCTTCTCCCAGGTTATCTCGGGCTTTGGTCGGCCAGCAACTTCACAAAGGAAGCTGGCCGTGTCGCCAACAAACACGGATTGCGGAGATGGGCTGTTCACCATCACAGGAGCGTGCACATCTTCAGGAGTGGTGCGCTGCAGCGTGGTGGTGGGTAATGCGGTAGTGCCCGCCGGGAGAGGACTAGTGTTTGGCCAGGTGAGGTGGAAGCGGCACGCCACCACCGATAAGGAGATGCCCTTTGAGCATGCTTCTGCATCCATGTAGCACTTGTTATAGTAGGTCATCCCGTCCGAGGCGCAGGTGAAGTATGGCTCTCTCTCGCAGCGGTCGCGGCACTTGCACACAGGCTGGCCGTCCCAGATTTCACACTCGGAGCCCTGCTGAGTGCACATAAACTTGTCACAGGACGCCTCCTTTGGCATGCCCATGGGCCCTTTCTTGCCCGTAGCGTCGATGTAGCGGGCCGCCACACAGCTGCGATTGCCGCAAACATTGGCACAGCACTTTTCGAACGTTTCACATTCCTGAACAAAGCAAAGAGTGAATGCAGCCCCATTTTCTCATCCTTCAGGATCTCCTCCACAGTGATCAGAGCGTGACCCGAGTCTTGGTCCTCGGTCAGCTCCGTCATGCGTCCCAGAATCACGAAATCACTTTTGCAGAAGCTGGTCACCATCTTGTGCCGTGGCTTGCACAGCTTGCAGCGATGGCTCCTCAAGAACGGGCAGGTGTCCTCGCATGATTCTTTGGTTTTGAAGTTGTTCTCGTTGCCTTTGCAGCCGCCATATACGAACAGTTGGCACCGGTGCTGGGAGCCGCTGTAGGCCCAGCGAGGTTCATACGCCTTGCAAGGTCCCTGGTAGATGGGAAGGTTACAAGGAGAGGCGAGTTCATCCTGACAGGACGACACGCAGGTCTCATAAGCGTCAAAGCGATTGCGGTTTTTGCTGCAGTTGCCGTAGTTAAAGGTGTAGCAGTTGTTCCTCTGGGGGTCGTAAAACCAACTCAGCTTTTCCTCCCCACAATCTTCACTATCAGGCACCTTAAAGCACTCCTCTGCCGGGAAACGTGTTGAGTTCGACTTTGTGACTGGCTCTTGCTCAAGTACGGACAGTGGAAAATGTGCTCGGATGGATCCGCCAGCATTTGTGGCCGCGCATGTATAGACACCGGCATCATGCAATTGAGCGTTGTAGATAACCAGCTGGCCGATGTTGGTGACCACAACATTCCCATGCACGTGGTTGGGTTTCAAGATTACGTTTCCTTGCCTGTCCATCTGCTTCTCCCAGGTTATCTCGGGCTTTGGTCGGCCAGCAACTTCACAAAGGAAGCTGGCCGTGTCGCCAACAAACACGGATTGCGGAGATGGGCTGTTCACCATCACAGGAGCGTGCACATCTTCAGGAGTGGTGCGCTGCAGCGTGGTGGTGGGTAATGCGGTAGTGCCCGCCGGGAGAGGACTAGTGTTTGGCCAGGTGAGGTGGAAGCGGCACGCCACCACCGATAAGGAGATGCCCTTTGAGCATGCTTCTGCATCCATGTAGCACTTGTTATAGTAGGTCATCCCGTCCGAGGCGCAGGTGAAGTAGGGCTCTCTCTCGCAGCGGTCGCGGCACTTGCACACAGGCTGGCCGTCCCAGATTTCACACTCGGAGCCCTGCTGAGTGCACATAAACTTGTCACAGGACGCCTCCTTTGGCATGCCCATGGGCCCTTTCTTGCCCGTAGCGTCGATGTAGCGGGCCGCCACACAGCTGCGATTGCCGCAAACATTGGCACAGCACTTTTCGAACGTTTCACATTCCTGAACAAAGCAAAGAGTGAATGCATCATTTTGCAGGATGTTGCAGTTGTATGCTCTTGATGATCATGATTACATGAATGAAAAGAATTATAGATAATATATGTATATATAAAATGTATTCTCGAATGAATGAAAAGAATTATAGATAATATATATATATATATATATATATATATATATATATATATATATATATATATATATATACACATAATGGACATGCATACATGCAAGTAATATGTATATATAATATTTAATATATATTTTACATATAAATTAAATGTAGATGCATGCATGGAAGTAATATATACTGTATATATAATATTGTATATATACATATATATGAATTAAATTGACATGCATGTAATAGTAATAAATACATAAAAACTGCATATATACAGTATGTATATATACATGAAACAGACATGCATGCATTCACGTAGTTTGTATATAAAAATGTGTTAATACATATATATGCATGCAGTCAAACTGACAACTAATTTAAATGGAATGAAAAGGCAAACCTGATCAGATTCACATTCTCTTGTGCAGGTGCTCATTGCATCAACCCACAAGTTTGGGTTCATGTCATTTGGACAGATCCCTGCGTGGGAATAAGCAACTCTTTGCAAAGTCATGCCTTTCACGCATTGCCTGTCCACAAATAGCAGCAAAAACTGTCCTGAGACGAACCAGATCCAGCGAGGAAACAGCATCCACCACATGTCGGAGGGCAGGAATGAGGACTTCTTTTGAGGAGTTACTAACCTAATTTTATTGAAACAGCTGAGCCAGAATTCTGCGCCTCGAGCTTCCAAGCAGCAGGAGACAAAAAAAAAAGTTTTGACTTCTTGAGCAACAAAGGCTATTCTCCTGACCGCAAAACTCGCCTGACACACAATGACAGTTATGAACCACTCTGTAGTTCTAGAGAGAGGATTAAAAACATCTGGTCCAGAGCTGGGTTGGTACTGGGACACCTGCCTCTCTTTGAAAGTGCTCTAGGCTGCTGCTTTAACCCTTTATCTGGCACGCGCGTGGGAATTTTATACACTTTAAAACGAAACATAGAATCCAAAAGCAAGAAATGGTTAATAAACGCCAATTTTATATCAAATATCAGTGTTAAAGTAATATAGCCTACACCAGTTTAACAAATTACAGATGAAATCTCCATCATACTTGAGCAACATAAAGGATTTTAAGGACAAAACTGTGTGCGAGGTAAGAAAGTTAAATGTAAAGGCTGGTTTAGATATTTGTGATCTTGCTGATGGACATTAAACGGCAAAATCAGCAAGTTCTCGTTTAATTATATGCAACATCCATGCACACAAGCTTCTCATCTGCATGTTAAATCAGATACTATGACTGTGCAAACCATCAACTTCACATCAAAGTTTGAAACACACGTAATCCACATGTGTTATAACACTCCAAGGTTTTCCCTTTGACATGTCGGCTGTTAAATTAAAAGTTTATCATGGAATTTAACTACGGAATATAACGATCTATTAAGCATTAGACGATTGTTCTATCAGATATATGGCATAAATAAAATCTAATCCTGTCACGCAAATGAAAAGTCAAAACCACAGTGTTAAAATGTTTGTAAGCACCAATGCCAATATTTAAGGAGTGTGCTAATAAACAGCCTAATACGTAACAAAGAGAAAAGTAGATATCCATCGCTACATTTTAACATACACTGAGAAAGAAAAGACATAAGGGTACAGCAAGCCTAAAGATGCACAAATAAAGCACTAAAGGCAAAACTCAGTTTGCACGTGCATGTGGACACTAATTTGATTTAATATTTAAAAAAATTAGATATTTTTTTTGGTGGCATTTTTCATTATTGTGTTTTTAAATTGAATATATTTTAATAATAGTGTACAAATGACTGTACAAGTTAATAAATGTAAATTGCACTATTTTACTAATCAAAATAAACAGAATATGGTTTAAACTGTGCTGAAGTGATTGTTTTGAACACGTATTAACTTATATAAATATGACCACTTTAGCTGAATTATTTGTATAATATTTTACTACGTTTACGATTTCCTACAAAATGTGTTACTCCCTGTTTTAATAAAGATATTCATTTTCTGCAATATGGGAGTAAAGCACATTTTCTTTAAGGTGCGCCTTTAACCCCGTCTTACACTAATTTGGCAGAGCTGGTCAAAATCAGCCAATGCTGATGATATTGTACATTAAATGATGTGCATTAAATTAGTCTAAATGAATAAATGTCATTTAAAATGAGGGTTTGTCTCATGTAGCTTTTCCACAACACCACAGCCTGTGAGTTAAACACAAAATCTATTTATGCAAAAACACTAATGCTGATTAAAGAAGGCAGCTACTATTTGTGTTCATGAGAAACTTCACCTTATTTTACCCCTGCGACCGTAGATTAACTTTAACAGTGCCTTGTTGTAAAGTTTAACCGTATAACAGTTGTAGGAAATTTTTTGTCTTCAGATATCTTTCCAAAGAGAGAGAGAGAGAGAGAAACCCTTTCAGGCTCTCAGGTGTCAAATGAGGACAAACTCTTTTTTTCTCTCTCTTTTTAATAAACGTTGAGCTTTTGGAAAATGCATTTTACCTGACTTAAATATCTAAACATCTAAGACGGCAGACTGAAATTCAGGAAAGATCCACTACATTTTGGCCATCAATGGTTATCCATACGATATCTCACGCCTCGGGAGTTTGGATCCAAATATATAATTCCCCGAACATCTAACAATCAAGTATTTTTTCTCAAGCATTTCCGAGGAAACGTGTTTGAGTGAAGGATCCAGGTTGAGGAGAGTATCTGGCCTCCAGCGGGAATAAAAGGCTTTAACTGCTGGCACATTGATAACACACTGCAACTCTGTGTGATTGATTGCTGAAGGAGCTGCAACACACTGCATTCTTTCACGTACCTGCTTCGGAGACGCATTACCTTACTTGCCCTCTGCGAAGGCAATGTGTGATGTATTTGTTTAAGGAAATATTGTAATGGGAACAAACAATTAATAAACTCCTGTCAGTCTGAACATCTTGAGTGAGGACTGATGCAACCTCAGGGTGTGCCATTAAAATAACAGGATAGTTTGTTCTGAAAGACATGAAAAACTCAATGGAGATATTCATGGTTTAAGAACATATCGACTGGGAGGCTTTCACACAGCAGACGGAACTATACTCATTAGTTAAAGACAATCAATAAGAAATGGTAGACAGTTTAAACTGATGGATAAATTAGGCAGATAAATGTTGTAAGTGTATATTTTATTGAAAATTAGAACATTGTTAGTCACTTCCGCTCAGCAAGGCTGCATTTACTTGATCACAAATACAGTAAAAATTTTGAAATATTATTACAATTTAAAATAACCCTTTTCTATGTGAATGCATTTTAAAATGTAATTTATTCCTGCGATGCAAAGCTGAATTTTCAGCATCATTACTCCAGTCTTCAAGGTTTATATTTGGTGTCAAATGGCCACAAATTTTAAACAGCGTTGAAGTACAAAGCTTATTTTGTAGTAGAATCAGTCCAAAATTAAAATTTGCTTAAAATTTGTACTCACCTTCAGCATCCAGAAACAATACTGGCTGAAACAGTGTCACTGTGTGGTTTACGCTTCTAAAGAAGTGTTTTCACCACAGCACAAACACATTCGGCATGTCTTGTTGTTCTCAGTATGGAAACAGCATGTTGTATTCTCACCAGCAGGCCCAACCCTTGCAAGAAGGCTTATTTCCCAGAAACACCTTCCACGCCAGGAATCATTCACAAACACCACGGGCCGTCAACGCCACAGACAACTAAATTGGGAAATTTTTTAAATAATATAATAATAAAAAGAATAATATAAATGACAAAATTACTAAAACTAAGTAAAATTAAAATTAAAACAACATTTATAAAAATAAAATCTTATTCAAAATGGGAGGGGGGGGATCAGTAATATTTTTATTTTTGAAAGAAATGAAAATATATTTTTATTCAGCAAGGACACATTAAATGAGTAAAAGTAATGAGACGGTATTACATCAAATAAATGCTGTTCTTCTGAACTTTCTGTTCATCTGTGAATCCTGAAAAATAAAATGCATCACGGTTTCCACAAAAATATTGTGCAGCACGACTGTGTTCAACATTGATAATAATCAGAAATGTTTCTAATAATCAGCATATTATACTGATTTCTGAAGATCATGTGACACTGAAGACTGGAGGAATGATGCTGAAAATACAGCTGCGCATCACAGCAATACATTACAGTTTAACAGATATTCACTTAGAAAACAGCTGTTTTACATTATAATAATATTTCACAATTTTTACTGTATTTTTGATCAAATAAATGCAGCCTTGGTGAGCATAACAGACTTCTTTTGAAAACAAAACATCTTACAGACCCGCACTTTTGAACAGTACTGTATATTTATGACTGGAGGCTTCGGGACATTAAACATAAAGAGAGTCAGTCTTGACAGATTATGAGTTTCATGACATGGCGTGATCTGTAAGATCTTCAGTGTGTTCCTCAGGTGTTTGCAGTCAGTGGGGCTCAGAGGAGACAGACAGCAGCTGCGTCCAGAATGAGAGGAATGACACCCTTTGACCTGCTTTATGTTGAATCTAATGCGGCAGATTTTCATACGTTCACACACGAGCGCTCAGAGATTCAACAGTTCAGCATGACGTGTGTTCAAGCCTGTTGCTAAAGTGTCCTCGGAGAGAGGGGATTCCATCATGAACAGCATTAGAGAAGGTTTGTCTCTGTTGAGGCTCAGTTCAAGAATCAGAAAGGCAGCGTGTGCTTCATTACAGACGACATGATGATGCCGAGACACGTCCTCTAGTGGTCTGTTAAGATCTACACACACTCAAACACAAGCACTGGAGGCTGAATTCAGTTCACTCTGTTCATTCATTACCCATGAAGAGATTTTAGGAGTATTTTAGTGAACAGTCATCTATCTGTCATGCTGTTTTAGAAATTAGTATTAAATGTCAGTAATCAATATGGGATCATATGGGATTTCATCTTTTATTTCAACTTCATCTGGACTTTTTTATATAAATATATATATATAATAAATAACTAAATAAATACTGTATTGTGAATTTATAGCTGCCATAGTTATTTATTAAATAATATATTAAACTGTAATATAATAAATCATAAATGAATAAATATTATCATAAATATTTATATATTAGGGATGTCAGTTTAACGCGTTAACATAATTAATTAATTATTTAAAAAAATTAATATTTTAACGCACTGGTCCCGCCCACAGACCTGTACATCATCTTACATTTCATACAGTTGACTGTTGACAAATATGATGCAAGGCCACAACTCCATAAATGCAGTTATGCCCTAAAAGTCAAGATATTGGTGCAAAAAATGCCCCTGTATGTGTTTTTGTCTCGTGTTTCATACAGTTGACTGTTGACAAATATGATGCAGGGCCACAACTCCATAAATGCAGTTATGCCCTAAAAGTCAAGATATTGGTGATATCATACGATATCACACGAGCAGCGAGAGCAGTAGGCTATTACACGAGTGCTGATTTGTCACGAATATCACGAGTTTAAATGTGATTTTATATAACAGTTCAGTAAGATATTGTGTTATATTTTAAACACAATATTGTGTTTTTGTTCAATTTTGCAAAGAATATATTACTTTTAAAGCCACAGCAGAACTGTTGTGCGTCTCCGAGTTTAGTTTCTGAATGATTCCACGTTTTGAACGAATCGTGTGAATCAATGAATCACAAAAAACAATTAAATTCTGTGATTATTTACTCTCACGTCCCTCGTGTCGTTTCAAACCTTTCTTTTGTGGAACATAAAGGAAGGTATATTGAAGACTGTCGGTAACAAAGCTGTTCTGGTTACCAATGACTTTCATTGTTGAACAAACAAACGATGTAGGGGTGGGTGAAATACCAGTGCACATGCCTTATGTGACACACTTATGTGTCAAAATGGCCATCATTGCGAGTATACACAGGTGTTTATGTCTTAAGTGAATATAAACAGTTGAGAAAGATGCAAACACATGTGTATCAGTATATTAGATCCATGCATTCAGTCTTAAAGTGCTTCATTAATGTCAATCAAACCACAAAAGAGAGAACATCTTGCTGCTCTTTACACCACTGAATAAAAAGAATTGATTTAATTGATGCTTTTTATCTCACAATTTTTCTCTGAATTGTGAGATATAAAGTCGCAACTTTCATTGTTGAACAAACCATACTGAGATGTTTCTCAAATTATCTTCTTTTATGTTCCATAGTTTATGTTAGGCCGTTGTAGCCTAAATGTTTATGTGTAATACATTTTTTTGTTGAATCAAATACAATATTTCTAAAGCTACAATTTATAATGCCTACTTGATACTTTCTCATTTAACACAAAAATATCTTTAAATAATCTTGTGTGGGTATTTTCACAGTAATATTTTTTTTTTGTGATTAAGTAATCGAAACATCATGTAATTAATTAGATTAAACATTTTAATTGACTGACAGCCTTAATATATATATATATAAAATTAAAATGAAAATTTTTTTTTTTTATATCAGGTGCCTTTCATCACTGAAACTGAAGGTTTATGAGCTTCAAACACTGTAGTGAAAACCATCATGCTATGATTTATTACATTATTATTTAGCATAGATGAGGTTTTGTCAAAATTATGAAAAAAACAGTAAACCAGTAATAAACAGTAATCCTGTATTGCTTATGAATGTATAGCTGTCACAGTAAAACAAGTATTTATTAAATAATATACAGTATATAAATTATAAATTAAAATAAAAAAAATGAAATATCTAAAATTAAAATAAAAAATATATATGTGGCAAACAGTAATCCTGTATTGTTTATGAATGTATAGCTGTAACAATAAATAAGTTATTAAATTATTAAAATATAGAAAAAATATAAGTGGCACAATGTCCTGCTATATATCAGCTCACTGAAAATGAAAGTTTATGAGAGCAATGAAAACACAAAACTTACGAAATACACATAGAAACAGTATTAATTTTTTAATAAATGCAACAATACTCCAATTCTGGCAACAGAATTCAAGTTTTTACAGATTTGGTTTACAAAAAGAATCTCATACATAACTGAGCAGAAATCTTCCCTATTGAACAACTTAAATAATACAGTACAAAAATAGACTGCTTTATCATGAAACGACTCATTCAGTAACAGTGGCACTGTAGTCATAGAGAACAAAAATAATAGCAATAATGTAAAAACAACCAAAGATCCTGGATGCAGCAGTAAAACAGAGACACATTACATTCACTGGCGTTGTGTGTGAGACACTGTGTGAAGGCACTGCGGCTTACAGCATAAGAGCTCACGCCAGACCCGCGTCTTTAGCCATTCCATAGAAGATTCCTTTCTGAGCGAGCAGGTTAGTCGGCGTGTCGAACTCTGCGATCTTTCCCTTGTCCAAAACGAGCACTCTGTCACAAGAGAAAAGCACTGAATTCAACATGTGCACACGCTCTGCCTTCATGGAAACGATGTAGGGGTGGGTGAAATACCAGTGCACATGCCTTATGTGACACACTTATGTGTCAAAATGGCCATCATTGCGAGTATACACAGGTGTTTATGTCTTAAGTGAATATAAACAGTTGAGAAAGATGCAAACACATGTGTATCAGTATATTAGATCCATGCATTCAGTCTTAAAGTGCTTCATTAATGTCAATCAAACCACAAAAGAGAGAACATCTTGCTGCTCTTTACACCACTGAATAAAAAGAATTGATTTAATTGATGCTTTTTATCTCACAATTTTTCTCTGAATTGTGAGATATAAAGTCGCAATTCTGAGAAATAAAGTCAGAATTGTGTGATATAAACTCTATTCTGAGAAATACAGTCAGAATTGTGTGATATGAACTCTATTCTGAGAAATAAAGTAAGAATTGTGTGATATGAACTCTATTCTGAGAAATACCATCAGAATTGCAAGATAAAAACTTATAATTCTGAGAAATAAAGTCAGATTTGTGAGATACAAACTCGCAATTGTAAGCAATTGTAAGAATTGATTTCCTCAGAATTGGACTAAACTATATCTTATATATGTTTGATGCTGAGATCAAACATCAATAAAAACCTTTAATCTCAGTTTTTTGGGGGGGTTTTCACAAAATAAGAATTAAGATTTTTCAAATCAGCTTTAATGCTCTTATAAAAACAACACAGTCAAATGTCAAAAATGACAAAAAGGAGTATTCAAAATGTATAATTTAACTTAAAATCTGCAAAAAAACAAATAAAAAGTGGAAAAATAGAGATTAGACATAAAATAATGTGTTCCGAATCATTCATACTTGTGATAAAGGCTGAGCATTGAACAGATAGTTGTAAAATTGTCATTAAAAGCAAAAATGCTACAAAATGCATCACATTTTGTGAGAAAAGGTGTGACCTGCTCCATCAAAACAGACAGTATTTCTGGACTCAGCAGCTCGAACAGAGTAAGAAACGAGAGGTACCTGGTGTAGTCCATGATGGTGTTGAGTCTGTGAGCGAAACGATGTAGGGGTGGGTGAAATACCAGTGCACATGCCTTATGTGTCAAAATGGCCATCATTGCGAGTATACACAGGTGTTTATGTCTTAAGTGAATATAAACAGTTGAGAAAGATGCAAACACATGTGTATCAGTATATTAGATCCATGCATTCAGTCTTAAAGTGCTTCATTAATGTCAATCAAACCACAAAAGAGAGAACATCTCTTGCTGCTCTTTACACCACTGAATAAAAAGAATGAACATTTAATTGCTGCTTTTTCTCACAATTCTGACTTTTTCTCTGAATTGTGAGATATAAAGTCGCAATTCCGAGAAATAAAGTCAGATTTGCGACATTCAAGGAGTATTCAAAATGTATCATTTAACTTAAAATCTGCAAAAAGTGGAAAAAAGTAGAGATTAGGCATAAGATACTGTTCAGAATCATTCATACATGTTGCAGATCTGAGAAATAAACTCTTTATTCTGAGAAAAACATCAAAATTGTATGATATAAACACAATTCAGAGAAATAAAGTCAGAATTGTAAAATATAAACGTATAATTCTGAGAAATAAAGTCAGAATTACAAGATATAAATGTATAATTCTGAGAAATAAAGTCAGAATTGTGATATGAAATATATCTTCCAAAACATGTTTAACTCTAAAACTGCATGAAAATGAAAGCCATTAATCTAAACAAGTTGTGCTCCAAATTTGAGGTTGATATCACAAAAAAAGGTTTCTACTAGACGACATTTGCTTCCTATTCGTTTCCAATAACGTCATTTTTGACCGCAAAGTGTTATTATTCAAAACCATTTAACCTTTATGAATCATGATCAAAGTCTTTTTTATGTTCACACAGCAAGCGCCAAAACCTTTACCAAGTTTTGTTCCATTCTGATGAAGTAATAAAATTTTTTTTTTTTTAAAAACTACTTTTTTTTCTGTCAGAAACGACCACACAAAATAAGAGTATTTTACTGAGAGTATAGAGTGATGTAATGCACACAGGCATATTGCTGTGTTATTTCTAACGGCACCTGAGGTTTTCTCCTCCTTCGGAGCACTCCAGCTCGAGCTTGGACGGCTGGTTGCTGACAAACTTCTTCAGATGAGAGAGTTCCAGCACTTTCCACACGTCTTCCTCGCTGTATTTCTCAAAGGGATCGAGGTTCATCCGCAGAGTCCCGGAGAACAGGACGGGCTCCTACAATCAGTCACACAAGACACTGTGAGATGTGAAACATGCGCATTCAAAATAAACTTATATTCAGAGAAAAACAGCATTTATTTATCTTCAACATGAATTCATGTGAATGGCAAAACTCAACAATAATTAGAGTTGAGTATAATTATTGTTAAAATTAATATTTATTAAATAATAAATTAATTAAATAACATAAGCAGCACCATTTCCTGCTATTGATTGCAAATTAATAAAAAACTAAATAAAATATAACAACATATATTTGATTAAAAAAATATATATTTAACTTTATTGAACTCAATATTTAACTAATGCTGTTTTGTTTATGAATTTATAGCTGTCACAGTAAATAATAAGCTATTTATTAAGTAATATATAAAATGTTATAATAAATTATCAATTAAAATTAAATCTTATAAGACAGTTTCCTGCTATTAATGCAAATTAATTAAAAGTAAAATGTAACAACATTAATATATATTTGATTTTAAAAAATCAATATTTAACTTTATTAAACTCAATATTTAACTAATGCTGTATTGTTTATGAAATTATAGATGTCACAGTTAAATAAGTTACTTATTGAATGACATAAAATTCTAATTTTAATAAATTATAAATAAAAAAAGTATTAATTTAATATAATTTAAATTAATTAAATTATATAAGCAGCATAATGTTCAGCTATTAATGCAAATGAATAAAAAGGAAAATATAACAACATTAATATATATATATTTTATATATATATATATATTTAAAATGTGTAAATATTGTAATAAACTTTTCTCCTCCTTCGGAGCACTCCAGCTCGAGCTTGGACGGCTGGTTGCTGACAAACTTCTTCAGATGAGAGAGTTCCAGCACTTTCCACACGTCTTCCTCGCTGTATTTCTCAAAGGGATCGAGGTTCATCCGCAGAGTCCCGGAGAACAGGACGGGCTCCTACAATCAGTCACACAAGACACTGTGAGATGTGAAACATGCGCATTCAAAATAAACTTATATTCAGAGAAAAACAGCATTTATTTATCTTCAACATGAATTCATGTGAATGGCAAAACTCAACAATAATTAGAGTTGAGTATAATTATTGTTAAAATTAATATTTATTAAATAATAAATTAATTAAATAACATAAGCAGCACCATTTCCTGCTATTGATTGCAAATTAATAAAAAACTAAATAAAATATAACAACATATATTTGATTAAAAAAATATATATTTAACTTTATTGAACTCAATATTTAACTAATGCTGTTTTGTTTATGAATTTATAGCTGTCACAGTAAATAATAAGCTATTTATTAAGTAATATATAAAATGTTATAATAAATTATCAATTAAAATTAAATCTTATAAGACAGTTTCCTGCTATTAATGCAAATTAATTAAAAGTAAAATGTAACAACATTAATATATATTTGATTTTAAAAAATCAATATTTAACTTTATTAAACTCAATATTTAACTAATGCTGTATTGTTTATGAAATTATAGATGTCACAGTTAAATAAGTTACTTATTGAATGACATAAAATTCTAATTTTAATAAATTATAAATAAAAAAAGTATTAATTTAATATAATTTAAATTAATTAAATTATATAAGCAGCATAATGTTCAGCTATTAATGCAAATGAATAAAAAGGAAAATATAACAACATTAATATATATATATTTTATATATATATATATATTTAAAATGTGTAAATATTGTAATAAACACCAACAGCAAAAAACATTTTTGAATAAAAGTTCAAAACACACTGCAGCATTTTAGTAAGTGTTAAAAGGTGAAATGAGGTTAAGAACAGGTTTTACTAGAGAAAACAAACACCGGGGAAAAAGTTCAATGTTAATAATCTGGACGCCATTAGTTTATAACAAGCTAATTAGCAGCGTTTAGTGAGCCTGAAGGTGCTTTGGCATCAAAATCACTATCAACTGCTTTATGGCTCTGAATGGGGAAATGAGCTTTTTCTGCTGACCCATCACGAGCGCAACACTAATACAGCAGTAAACGCCATTCCCAAGCTGGGCTTAAATTAAAACAGATGCTTTACCGCCAACCAAGCTGAAGAAAACCCAAAAGCCCGACCTGAGGGATGATGGTGAGTTTGGAGCGCAGGTCGTGAAGGCCGATCTCAGAGATCTTCACCTCGTCGATCACGATCTCTCCATCCGCCGCCTCCAGCAGACGGAACAGACACAGAGTCATTGAGGACTTCCCAGCGCCGGTTCGTCCAACGATACCGATCTGCAGAGCCATACACCACCGCTCAAATCATCATACAGAAACCATCGCTGAATGTGATATATAGTATGTGTGACCCTGGAGCACAAAACCAGTCATAAGGGTCAATTTTTCGAAATTGAGATGCATGCATCATCTGAAAGCTGAATAAATAAGCTTTCCATTGATGTGTGGTTTGTTAGGATCGGACAATATTTGGCTGAGATACAACTATTTGAAAATCTGGAATCTGAGGGTGCAAAAAAAATCTAAATATTGAGAAAATCATCTTTAAAGTTGTTCAAATGAAGTTCTTAGCAATGCATATTACTAATCAAACATTAAGTTTTGATATATTTACGGTAGGAGATTTACTAAATATCTTCATGGAACATGATCTTTACTTAATATCCTAATGATTTTTGGCATAAAAGAGAAATGTATAATTGTGACCCATACAATGTATTGTTGGCTATTGCTACAAATATCCCCCAGCGACTTAACACTGCTTTTGTGCTGCAGGGACACATATACTGTTTCAGTTTATTTATTTATCCGTACTAATCAAACATTAAGTTTTGATATATTTACGGTAGGACATTTACAAAATATCTTCATGGAACATGATCTTTACTTAATATCCTAATGATTTTTGGCATAAAAGAGAAATGTATAATTGTGACCCATACAATGTATTGTTGGCTATTGCTACAAATATCCCCCAGCGACTCAACACTGCTTTTGTGCTGCAGGGACACATATACTGTTTCAGTTTATTTATTTATCCCTGTAGGGAAAGCACATTTGCAGCATACGCTCAAACAGACACTAAACAACTCACATTTGGCAAAACAATAGTTTAATACTGATAAATCGAATTTAAAATAACCAGTCTAGCTGACCATTAGTTACCACTAGAGGAAGAAGAATTTAAAGGGTTAGTTCACCCAAAAATTTAAATTTACCCATGATTCACTCACCCTCAAACCATCCTAGGTGTATATGACTTTCAGACGAATACAATCGGAGTTATATTTAAAAGCGTCCTGGCTCTTCCAAGCTTTATAATGGCAGTCAATGGGTGTTATTTTTCAAAACTCCAAAAGAAGTCCAATAAAGAGCATCCATCCATCATAAAAAGTGCCTTGCATGGCTCCGGGGGTGAAGAAAGGCCTCCTGAAGCCAATCAACGCGTTTTTGTAAGAAACACATCCATATTTAAAACTTTATAAAGCGTAATCTCTAGCTTCCGCTAACAGTCGTACGCGCGTATGATGTAAGGCGTAGCGTAAGGTCCGGTGAGATATGCTAGTCTCGCGAGAACTGACGTTTGTCAACAGGAGCAAAGGAAGCAAAGTTTCTTTACTTTAGCAAAGGAAAACCAGTCTCCTCTTGGCTTATATCCAAATCCTCCCACACTTTTCTTTCCAAATCTACTTTTTGCACTTCTAATTCGTGACCAGTGTTTTGTTTTGCTCTCTCCTCTGCGCTTCCGCATTCGTCACTTCTCACCGGAGCTTACGCTACGTCCTACGTCATCCGCCGGAATGAACGCGTGGACGACTGTTAGCGGAAGCTAGAGATTACAGTTTATAAAGTTTTAAATATGGATATTTTTCTTACACAAACACATTGATTTGCTTCAGGAGGCCTTTATTCATCCCCCGGAGCTGTGTGGAGCACTTTTTATGATGGATGGATGCGCTTTATTTGACTTCTTTTGGAACACCCAAAAGACCCATTCACTGCCATTATAAAGCTTGGAAGAGCCAGGACATTTTTAATATAGCTCCAATAGGATTCGTCTGAAAGAAGAAAGCCATATACACCTAGGATGACTTGAGTGAGTAAATCATGAGCAAATTTTCATGTTTGGGTGAACTATCCCTTTAATAATTGAATTGCTTGGGGAATAAAAGATCATTTCAACCTGTTTTTAGAGCATCTGGGAACACAATATCGTCGGCCAGATGGTAACAATTCAAAAGTATAAGATAAAGGATGCCTCTTATCATTCACAATGAGGTTAGCCTTATCAACAGCCTTTCTTTATATATACTCTCTATGCTCTGTAACTTTATCCCTAATCATTTACTTGCTGGTTAATGAGCTCCTCTGAGCCTCGGAAGCATCACCATACCAACAAATCACAAAAAATGTCAAAATGCTTTCAATAAAAGCCCCATAAAATATCAAAAGCATTCTGCTATGGACATTAAAAGAATGCATTCTCTGTTGAAGCTTCTTGCTTACTTTATCAATCCATGCATCCTACCTAAGTTTATTGTCCAGCATGATACCGAGGTATTTATAATTTGTTACTAATTGCTCCCCATTAATTAATGTAGGATGGGTTACATTTTGCTCTCTCTCTCTCTAAAATCACTAACCATCTCCTTAGTTTTGGAGATATTTAAGAGGAGATTTGAATTTCCACACCAATTTAAAAAGAAATCCAAAACAAAAAATCAAGTACTCAATTATAAAAAAAGTCAATTAACTGGCAAAATACTGGAAGCGGCGCATTCCACGGACGAGAATCCATGAAACGCATTATTAGACCGTTTTCAAAGGCTGCACGAAATATTACAACCATTTAAAAATCATAATAAAGCATATTGTGAATTCAATTAAATAAATATATGCGCTGTGGGCTTCATTTCTATGCATGTAGGTTCACAGTAAATGCTGCTCCACACAAACAGTCATCATTTACATGCGCGGTCGGAGCGTCTCAAACGCCATCTCTGCGTACTGCTATGAGTCTGAGCTGATAGTTATGGGTTAGGGTTAGGGTTATGATTATATTGTTTTATTACATTACATTTATTACATGTATTTTAACCATTTTGTTCACTAAAACCATATGAGTACTTGCTTTTGAACCAATTATTATTGCCTCATTGCTATTATATATGTATTTTAAGTCATTTTAAAGTCTATTGTTTGATTAGGACTATTTTTATTGCAACAAAAAAAAAAGTATCAGATTACTCGATTAATCGTCAGAATAATCGACCGATTACTCGATTACCTAAATAATCGTTAGTGACAGCCTTCTTTATGTGCATCAAGCGGTTAAATGTAACATCATTGCGTATGTGCAGCATTAAAGAAGGCCGAATAATGCGCTTTCCCCGAAAGCAAAACATGCTACGCAACTTTGTTTTGCCCACCAGTATTTACATGCATTCAAACAGCCATTCAGCTTTCTGTATTTACACCGTGTGATAAAAAACACAACAGGTCATTGCGACTTTTTTTATCTCACAATTCTGAGAAAAACACATGCAATTTGCAAGAAACACGTGCAATTCTGAGAAAAAAGTCCTAATTAAGATACATTCAGAATTCAGACTTTGTTCCCCTCATAATTGCGAGTTTATATCTCACAATGCAGACTTTTCTTCTCAGAATTACAAAAAAAGTCAGAATTGTGACATTAAAAAAGTGACAATGCACCATTGTGCCTTTTTACTGTATACTGAATGAAGCAACAGTCTTGGCAAAAGTCTATTTAACTGGACTTGATTTTAGTCTGTTTGCCTATTTAGGATTTATTATTTCTTATTTAAAAAAAATTCTAAAAAAAAAAAAAAAAAAAATGCTATTAAAAAATATTTCTGAAATGCATTATTAATTTGTTGCACAGCCATACAGAATATTGATACCTGTAACAGAGTTAGTTTCAGCTGAGAAGAGCATTTCTGCGCTTTAATTGCACGTGTGATCAGAAACGAATGCAGGTCAGTGAGAGCAGCGCTGTAATGATGCTCCTCACCTTCTCTCCTCCTTTGACCTCCAGCGAGATGTTCCTCAGCACCAGGTCCAGTCCCTCGCGGTACCTCACGCTGTAGTCTATGAACTCCACGTTCCCCTTCGGAGGCCAGTCTGGAGGAGGCTGTTTGTCCTTCACTATCCATGGAGCCTATAGACGATTTGAACGTTTTACATGTCAGTCGAGTTAACTCTCGCTGTCTGCGTGCAGAATAAGTGAACCAGTGGTTATAATGCTGATAATCAACAGTCTTTGCTTGCAAAAAAAAGAGATAAAATCAGTTGTTTAATCCTAAGAAATTGATTATATATTCTAGTATATGAATGATACTGCATGTGTACCTCAGTCACTGTCTCTGAATACTCCTTCACTCTCTCCACTGCTACGATGTTGCTCTCGAGGTCAGAGGTCATCCTCACCATCCAGTTCAGGGACATAGTGACCTATTCAGCACAAAAAACAAGCGTGAACACAGAATACTGGCACTTGTTTTGATTATATTTGCATAATCTCATAATCTAGTTTTCTAATACATGTGCATTGTACCTTGTGAACATTGTTGGCTCTGTGACGAATTGCTTATGTTCCTCTATTATAAGTCCCTTTGCTTAAATGCATACTCTACCAGTCAAAAGTGTGTAATAATTAAGAATTTTTAATGTTTCTGAAATAAGTCTCTTCTGCTCACCCAGGCTGCATTTGCTTGATCAAAAATACTGTAAAAACAGTGAAATATTATTACAATGTAAAATAACTGTTCAAATGTAATTTATTGCTGTGATCAAAGCTCTGCTTCATGTTTGTGGAAACCATGACACACTAGCATTCGAAAGTTTGGGGTAAGTAGGATTAAAAATAATAATCATAGTAATACTTTTAATCATCAAGGATGCATTAAATTATGTAAAGACAGTAAAGAAGTGACAGTAAAGACATTTATAATGTTACAAAAGATTTCTATTTCAAATAAATGCTGTTCTTTTGAACTTTCTGTTCATCTGTGAATCCTGAAAAATAAAATGCATCACGGTTTCCACAGAAATATTGTGCAGCACGACTGTTTTCAACACTGATAATAATCAGAAATGTTTCTCGAGCAGCAGATCAGCATATTATACTGATTTCTGAAGATCATGTGACACTGAAGACTGGAGGAATGATGCTGAAAATACAGCTGCGCATCACAGAAATACATTACAGTTTAACAGAGATTCACACAGAAAACAGCTGTTTTACATTCTAATAATTGGTGCTGTAGTCAAGAACAAGACCAAACCAGCACTCCTGAAATTCATCTGAAAGATCCACATTTACTGCCTGAAAAATATCTCATATTTCATCATTTATGATGTTAACAAATAAATCAGACAAACCAGACAACAGCAATTTAGTGACATCCCTGCAGCTGTGGTCTTGAAATAAAATCCCGAGTCATTTTAGTCTGGGACCGAGATAAGACCAAGACCTTCAAAAAATGGACTCGGTTACTACAACACTGGCAATAATATTTCAGAATTTTACTGCATTTGATCAAATAAATGTAGCCTTGGTGAGCAGAAGAGACGTATTTCAGAAGCATCGGTAGTGTAAAGCGTAGGCAGTGTTTCGGCCGTAGGCGCGGATCACGCTAGTGCCTGTGATGGTCTCCGAAAAATGAGAATATATAGGAGACCTACTGACAGACTCCAGTCTCTTAAGCTGCCGAGACGTGGCTACATAAAATCTCTACAGAAGAAACCAGGGAGAGAAATAAACAATCTGCTATTACAAGAACAGAGAACAACAGCAGCATACATGCATATTCAATATTCATACACATACAAATGAGTGAGGATTCAGAAAACACTTTCTCATCATTCGACTGGCAGAAAAAAGTTATAAATCTTGTTCTAAAAAGTCTCTTTCTTTTCAATTAAAGCTTTAAAATTATGCTTTATTTCAATCAAGCACGATGACCTAATATTACAGGTTTGTCTGAACGCTATAGGAATGTTTGCTCAGTTTATTACTAACTAAATCCATAATTAAATGATTTGCAATAAGAGAAAATGTCTAAAAGAAGAATGCAAGTTATTTTATGGTGGCCAAAAGCTTCTATATAATCATTTTTGATCTGTCCTACTATGAAAACATATTTAAAGTTAACTCCTCTTTTGTCTTATGCACAATACAGTTTGGGGGCAGTAAGATTTTTTTATTTTTCTGAAATACTTCTCTTCTGCTCAACAAGGCTGCATTTATTTGATTAAAAATACTGTAAAAATTCTGAAATATTATTACAATCTAAAACAGCTGTTTTCTCTGTGAATATATATTAAACTGTAATGTATTTCTGTGATGTGCAGCTGTATTTTCAGCATCATTCCTCCAGTCTTCAGTGTCACATGATCTTCAGAAATCACTATAATATGCTGATTATTAGAAACATTTCTGATTATTATCAATGTTGAACACAGTCGTGCTGCACAATATTTTTATCTGTTTTTTCAGGATTCACAGATGAACAGAAAGTTCAAAAGAACAGCATTTATTTGAAATAGAATCTTTTTGTTGCACTTTTAATCAATTTAATGCATCCTCTATGAATATGTCTGTTACGACTGAGCGGTGCTCGAATCTGAATTTCAGGAGGACATTACCCCATAAAAGCACACAGTAAAGACTGAAAACATGCGTGAGGAGCTGCATGCATCCAAACGAGAGCGAGACCAAACCTACCTGTTGGAAACAATACCAGGGTAGTAACTCTTTTGGTTCTCGTCCACTTTCATATCGCTCAAGAGAACAAAGGCAGTGTTTCGGCCGTAGGCGCGGATCACGCTAGTGCCTGTGATGGTCTCCGAAAAATGAGAATATATAGGAGACCTACTGACAGACTCCAGTCTCTTAAGCTGCCGAGACGTGGCTACATAAAATCTCTACAGAAGAAACCAGGGAGAGAAATAAACAATCTGCTATTACAAGAACAGAGAACAACAGCAGCATACATGCACATTCAATATTCATACACATACAAATGAGTGAGGATTCAGAAAACACTTTCTCATCATTCGACTGGCAGAAAAAAGTTATAAATCTTGTTCTAAAAAGTCTCTTTCTTTTCAATTAAAGCTTTAAAATTATGCTTTATTTCAATCAAGCACGATGACCTAATATTACAGGTTTGTCTGAACTCTATAGGAATGTTTGCTCAGTTTATTACTAACTAAATCCATAATTAAATGATTTGCAATAAGAGAAAATGTCTAAAAGAAGAATGCAAGTTATTTTATGGTGGCCAATAATTTTTGATCTGTCCTACAATGAAAAAATATTTAAAGTTAACTCCTCTTTTGTCTTATGCACAATACAGTTTGGGGGCAGTAAGATTTTTTTATTTTTCTGAAATACGTCTCTTCTGCTCAACAAGGCTGCATTTATTTGATTAAAAATACAGTAAAAATTCTGAAATATTCAGTGTCACATGATCTTCAGAAATCACTATAATATGCTGATTATTAGAAACATTTCTGATTATTATCAATGTTGAACATGTGATGTTTTTATCAGCTCTCATTCTGACGGCACCCATTCACTGCAGAGCATCCATTGCTGAGACACTGATGCAATGCTACATTTCTCCAAACCTGATGAAGAAACAAACTCATCCTGATCTGGGATGGATTGAGAGTGAGCACATTTTAATATCTGGCTGAACTATTTCTTTAACAGCGGGACACACCATCAATCCACCTCTTACTCGTGGACTCTTACTATGCCTCACATCCCCAGTTCTTTACAAGTCTGTTACAGTATGTGCTCTAGCATTAGTACTGACAGCTACACTGTTAGTGTTAGAGGAGCGTACAGTATGAATGTGAATGGAGACTGGACTGACGAAATGATGAGATGCAGCACAGCAAAACAACCATGTTCAGTAGAAGACAAATGAATTCAATTCTACTCCTGCAAAGCTAACTCTACAGTAAACGGCTGTTCTTCACCCACCTTCAATACTTTTCAAAAGTAAGTGATCGTTCTCATATTATGAGTGATAATATGGAATATGACGTTACGAATATGAAGTGCTGCTGTCGCTACAGAAAATATACTGTTTACTATATGCCAAAATACTAAGAAATTCATATACATTTTTAATAATAATAATAATAATTATTATTATTATACATTATTGCCATAATTTATTCAATTATATAATAATAATATTAATAGTAGCAATAATATTAATTGATAAGCATTGATTATATTAATCATAATATTAAAAATAATAATAATTTATTGCAATATTTTATTAAATGATATAATAATAGTCATTAGTAGCAGCAGCATTATATAATTTAATACATTTTACAATAATAATACAATTAATAATCATAGTTTAGTAAATGATACAGTAATAAACAATTAATATTAGTGGTAGTATCAGTATTACATAATTTAATAAATTACCGCTAAAATGTATTATTACTATTATAGTTGTTGTTAATATTAATAATAATTATTTATTGCAATAGCATAGTTATTTATATAATAATAACAACATTTTTGGTGTAATTAATTAATTTCTATCCTAATAATAATAATTATTATCTTAATAAATAAATCTTAATAAATCTTAATAAATTATACACTAATAATAATAAAAGAACACCTTTCACTCAAATGACTACACTGTTAATATAATTTACAATAATAATTCAATCTAAAGCACAAGGATTTGTGTTATACAGTAAGCTCTGTTACTGTACGCTGTCAGAAACTCAAGAAGGTGTTTCGGTAAAGAACAGCCAGGACTAATCGATCAGAGAGACGAACCAAACCACACAGAGTCCAACTACAACACCAGGACAGTGATAATGCAGCTAGAACACAACAACAACAACACACGTTAACATGCTGTATTAATGAGTTATCAGACTTATTTCTATTTACCTGGACCCACCAATAGAGCAGCGTTAACGGCGCTATGACTATGAGGAACACAGGGGTGAGGGCAGAGCATACGATCAGCACATTTACTGTGTACCAGAAAGTGTGCATCCAGATATCAATATTCTCGGGAATGACAGAGTCTATCGTGTCCACGTCTTTGCTGAAGCGGTTCAAGATTCGCCCCGAGGGGGTGGCCTCGAAAAAGGCCTGCGGGGCCCTCAGAACGGCGTGGAGCATGTGGAGGTGCGTGGCGTGGGCCGCCTTCAGCATGCTGTACACACGACACAGTAAACAGTTGGCCAGAATCAGCGCACCTGTTGAAGGGGCAGCACACGGGTTAGTCTCCTATATATGCTCTCTCGCTCACCGCTGCTTCAGACAAGCACTACTGTACTGCACGTCCTCATCTGGGAGAGAGACAGACTCGGCTGCAAGTCAGAGAGCAGGAGTGCTTCTGCTGCACTTCTGAGAAATTCAGCATTGAAAAGAATATAACATTCACATTTTACATTAAAAAAAAGATGAAATTATATTTTGTAGCTTAGGTGTTCAAAAGCTTGGGGTTGGTAAGAATTGTTTTTTATTTAATAAGGATGCATTCAATTGATCAAAAGTGACATTTATATTGTTACAGCAGATTTCTGTTTCAAATAAATGCAGCCTTGCTGAGCAGAAGAGACTTCTTTCAGAAACATTAAAAAACCTTGCTGAACCCAAACTTCTGAACAGCAGTGTAGTTTCATCTGGGAAGAATTTGGGATGGATTGATTTTTTTTTTGAGAAAACAGTAATAATTGAGATATTACTCTGCAAAAAAAATAATAACAATAATAAATAGATAAATAATAAATATCTATCTATATATAAAAATTAATTCTAGGCAGATTTTTTTTTTTACTTGTTTTAAACTATGAAAACCACAACGTCATTTTGCTTCTCAAATAAATGAATCTTGAATTAAGAATGTTTAGATATTCACTAGACAAAAATACTGAGTAGAAAGATCTAATTTGTGATAATAGCTAAGATAAGAAACCAAGAACTGTATGTAATCACTAGATTAATAACTCTACTAAAGCGTTGCTCTCACCCATACAGAAAACATACATGCATCATTCAGTACGTCATAATTAAATGAGTGGAGAAGTGTGTGTGTTTGCTGATCAGCAGAGGTGTGTGTGTGTGTGTGTGTGTGTGTGAGAGAGTGTCTGTGTGTGTGTGAGAGTGTCTGTGTGCGAGTGTGTGTGTGTGCGAGTGTATGTGTGTGTGTGTGAGAGTGTGTGAGTGTGAGTATGTTTTGTGTGAGGGGTAGGGTTAGGATAAGGGGATAGAAAATACCATTTGTGCAGCAGAATCTATGAAGATCTCTCCAGATCTATGGAGAGTTCCCATAAAACATGAAAATGTGTGTGTGTGCGTGTGTGTGTGTGTGTGTGTGTATGTGTCCAATTCAAAGCAGGAAGTGGCAGCAGCCGTTGAGGAGGAACAGGAAGCAAGCTCTCGCACGAGATACGAGACAGACACGGCTTTGCTCAGGCTCTGTCAAAATCTGATCTTTAGGACCGAGTGTCTGCGTTGCGTATGATAACATCAGATCTGTGTGTTCACACACTGTCACGCAGATACTAATCTAAAACCACTGATGTTTACTACAAACACTGCAAAATGATCAGTATTTCTGTCGCTTTCAAGCATAAATATCTGAAAATACTTAAATCAAGATACATTTACATTTCAAAAGTTAGGACTTTAAGTCTTGTTGTATCAAAATGAATCAAAATGAATTAAATTTAAGCTTAAACGTGAAAACATGAAAAAATGTAAAAGAAAAATCTACAAAATTTATGGCCAATGGGGTCAGAAAAATAAACTTAATTCAAAGTGAAAACATTTTGTTCACCCCACTGACAGATAATAAATTATAGCAAAATATATATAATAATAATAATAATAATAATAAATAATAATTGCAGAAATGTAGTGAATTACATAAAACGAATTATAATAATAATAATAATAAAATTACTGCCAAAATGTAGTGAATTATAGAATAATAATAAATTATTGCAGAAACATAGTACATTTATATAATAATAATAATAATAATAATAATACATTCTTACAAAAATTAAATTATTTAATAATAATAATAATAATATGGGGTCAGAAAAATAATCTTAATTCAAAGTAAAACTAGTTTCTTTTGTTACCCCATTGACAGATAATTTTTCTTGATTTAAGCTTAAACTCACTTAATTTTGATATATTAAAATGTAAAAAAAATAATAATAAATAATAATTGCAGAAATGTAGTGAATTACATAAAACGAATTATAATAATAATAATAATAAAATTACTGCCAAAATGTAGTGAATTATAGAATAATAATAAATTATTGCAGAAACATAGTACATTTATATAATAATAATAATAATAATAATAATACATTCTTACAAAAATTAAATTATTTAATAATAATAATAATAATATGGGGTCAGAAAAATAATCTTAATTCAAAGTAAAACTAGTTTCTTTTGTTACCCCATTGACAGATAATTTTTCTTGATTTAAGCTTAAACTCACTTAATTTTGATATATTAAAATGTAAAAAAAATTTTTTTATATATATGTCTCAAATTTACATACGATAACATTTTTCCTGAAGGATCTTATTAAACAAGTCCGTAATAAAATAAAATCATTGTCTACTTTAATTAAAAGCAGAGATGTTTAAAAAAATAAGAAAATAATATTTATGCAGCGTATGAGCAAAAATGACAGCTGTAGAGCAAAAATGCGCTCTCGTGTGATTTTATATTTATATATATATATATATATATTTCTAAACTGACAAAATAAATGCTAGAAATCTGAAGCAACCATTCAGTCTGAAACAAGTAAAAAAACCAATGCTATATTTGACTAAGTGCATGAATATCAGATGTTCCCGCCGGTCTGAGCAAAGCCGTACAGTCAGACATACAGTACACAGGAGGAAATCACAGGGTTAGACTCTGATGAAGCGTGCACACGCTCTAACACTCCTCGAAAGGGATCTGCAATGCAAACGTTATCCGCTTTCATCCAGAATCGTGTAGAGCTGCAACAAAAGGGGAAAATACCTGCACAAAGAAGTAAATCAAGGCCAGAGGGCCAATGACCAGCGCGAATATAGGAGTACTGAAAATGATGACGATCATGGTGGACAGAGAGGCAAAGAAGGTGCCCAGGAACATGAGGACGGTGGATGGCAGGACCTCGTCGATCACGTAGATGTCCTTGGAGAAGCGGTTGATGATCCGGCCTATAGGAGTGGTGTCAAAGAAAGACTGGGGCGTGTGAAATTTGTTGTCCAGCAGGGTCTGATGCAGCTTGCGTGCGGCCTGGATTTTCCCCAGAGCCAGAGTAAAGGAGGAAAACATAACCAGGACGCCTGTGTTAGAGAGAGGGCACAGCGTCACTAGCAGTGCTGGGGAAACTTACTGTTACAAGTAATGCATTACTATGTTCCGTTACTCCATAAAAAAGTAACTAATTATGTTACTTAGCTACTTTTTATGGAACCTAATGCGTTGCGTTACTTGTTAAATCTGGACAGGGCTTGCTTGTTTGTTTTTAAAATAAAAAAGTTATATTTTTGGCAAATATAAAAGCCTTTTCACACCAAAAGTGAAATGAATGTGCCTCAGGCTGAAGGGAAAGTACAGTAGAACGCAGAAGAAGACATTTCAACACACTTCAGCAATAAACAAAGACACAGATGTTCGTCTAGAGTAATGTGTGCTTATTAGTACGCTTGAACTGGATCATCGAAGCTCAGAAGCTAATAGAATGGGATTAAATACATAAAGCATATTTGTGTTGTTCAACATTTAATTATTGCAGGTTTGCATCATATTCTGAGTTGCATTATTTTTATTCATTTTGAGGAATACTGAATCTGTGTTTTTGTTTTTTTTTGTGAGTGAGATGAATTAATGCATATTCATATTTATTTTAGAACTACAGTAACATCTGATTTCTGTCACCATGGCGACACCAGAGCTGTCAATCAATAAATTGGAAACAAAAGTAACTTGCGTTACTAACTTGAAAAAGTAACTCAGATATTCTCTTGCCAATTAAAAAGTAATGCGTTACTTTACTAGTTACTTGAAAAAGTACTCAGATTACGTAACTCGTGTTACTTGTAATGCGTTACCCCCGACACTGATCGTTATGATTTCTCCTTTTGATTCCAGTGAGGCAGCGTGTGTGTTTGGATTGACATCATGCTGTGTTTTCATGTTTGGGTGAACTATGCCTCAGTTGTGATGTGAATGAAGTGTTCAGTCAGTGTCTGGCTGTATAACAGAGACTCTGGCTGTACCTTGTGAGATGCCCAGCGCGGCGTAGACCCCGACCCTCATGTGCACTCTGTCCTGCGTGCGGTTGAGCAGCGCGTCGTTCGTCCACTCACTCAGCCAGACGTTGGCTCCGATGGAGGTGGCGCTCTGACAGCCGTACAGAACACAGATGAAGAGCGACAGCAGCGGCCCGACTGCCTTCGCATACTCCCAATACACCTTCAGCTTCACCTGCAACACACACACACTCACATTACACCGCTTCGTTTAGATGCATAACTAGCCTGGTGTAGGTCACCAAACTGAACGTCAACAGCACTTTCTGCAAATCTGATAATAAGGCGTGAAACAAAGCATGAACGTCAGGTGATTGACATTCAGAATATGTGCAATATGTTAAACTAACAATTATATTTATTACCAGCCATTGGCTAATTATTTATCATCCCTATTTGCACAATGTAGGACGAGTCTAAATGCATTTCAAAACACTGCTTTTCGCAATTTTTTGCAGTCTGTCAGGATTTGTATGATATATCTGGCTGTGAAATCAGTTTTGTGTGGCTGTTGAGTTCTAGTCCTCCAGGAGAGGGTGGTCTGGAGTCACTAACCCGTCCCGTCTCAGTCGTCTCAGCCTGGATGAGCTTCTCCACCTTCAGCTCCTTCTTCTCGCTCGGAGACTCCAGGTGTCTCCTCTCGCTGCAGCGCCGGCGCCGGGACATTTTCTTCGGGTTCTCCGGATCATTCGACATGATGCTCATCTGCCTACAAGAGACAGAACCCAAAACTCATGCACTCATATGAGAGATATTCAGATGATTATTTTGGACATGTATAAACCCCTGAAGATCATCATCTACCTCTTAAATGCAACAGTCACTTCCACATACTATTATGGAAGGCTTTATTAATCCTCTAACATGCACGCATCTAAAGATGATGCTTATTTACAATCATTCAAGGAATAACATAGCTGGCCATTAGTGTCCAACTGGCTTCTTTCTGTTCCACTGAATGTGATAATAAGTGGTTTTTAACTGGAAATACAACATGCAAATTGCATGAAATTAAAAGCAGTGTTTGCCGAGAGCCACGTTTGGTAAAAGCAGACGTCACAAAGCCAAAGCAACTGGCAGAGCGAGAGGCATTACAAATGCATGATTACCTCATGAAGTGTCTGCGCGCCTCGTTGACTACAGGCTCGTTATCCACCATATCTGTGTGATTACTGAGAGCATCGTCAGGAAACTCCTCCTCCTCATCATCAACCAACAAATCTGAAAAACCATCCCAATGAAAGCAATAAATACAAATAAAATAGAAATACTTAATAATACATATATAAAAATGAACGATTATATCTAAATAACTGAATAATAAACATTTAATATTATTTATTACAAATAGATAACTAATTTAATGCCTATTTTATAATATATGAATGAATGAATGAATATCTGAAAAACCATGAGGAGTCAAAGTGATAAAAACACATGTAAGATCAAAATGAAAGCAATAAATAATTACAAATAAATATACAAAAAATTACATCTAAATATATTAAATAATTTTTTATATGTGAATTATATATAAAGTATTCATATTTGATAATAAGTATTATAAACAAATAAATGTATGCACTTATAAAATATTATAAATTATCTAAATATATGATTAATATATATGCATTACAAATAAATAAAAATATATAAATATTTAATAAGTATTATAAACAAATAAATACTATCTAAATATATGAATAAGAAATATTTTATAATAAATATATAAATGATACATATTAATATATATATATATATTACAACTAACTAAATAAATAAAAATAATATCTAAATATCTAAATAATAAATATTTTATAAGTATAAGTACTAATTATATAAATTATACATATATAATAATATGCATCATACATCATTTATACATTTAATTTTATATTATTATATTTAAAATAAATAGTTTGTAATATATATTGTAAATAAATAAATATGAAAGCAGAATAAATTATCTATAATTGTGACCCATACAATGTATTGTTGGCTATTGCTACAAATATCCCCCAGCGACTCAACACTGCTTTTGTGCTGCAGGGACACATATATATACAGTATATAAAAAAATATTTCAGCTCCATTTCTCCTCAGTTTATGAGTAATTCTCCTATGTACCGGTGACGTCATCGTCTTCGATGATATCCTCGAGAGAGTAGTTTCTGAGGAACTCTGCAAAAGCTCCATTCTGTTTGAGCAGATCCTGATAGGAGCCCATCTCTGACACGCGCCCCTCCACCAGCACCAGGATGTTGTGCACCTGCGGCAGGAAGCTGATGCCGTGAGTCACCAGAATCCTGGTCTGCGAGAGACACGCCACATCGCTTTACATTCACGCTTTACAACATTTCTGACCCTGGAGCACAAAACCAGTCGTAAGGGTCCATTTTTGGAAATTGAGATGTATACATCATCTGAAAGCTGAATAAATGAGCTCTCCATTGATGTATGGTTTGTTAGGATCGGACAATATTTGAAAATCTGGAATCTGAGGGTGCAAAAAAATCTAAATATTGAGAAAATCATCTTTAAAGTTGTTCAGATTAAGTTCTTAGCAATGCATATTACTAATCAAACATTAAGTTTTGATATATTTACGGTAGGACATCTTCATGGAACATGATCTCTACTTAATATCCTAATGATTTTTGGCATAAAAGAGAAATGTATAATTGTGACCCATACAATGTATTGTTGGCTATTGCTACAAATATCCCCCAGCGACTTAACACTGCTTCTGTGCTGCAGGGACACATTTCTGATGCACAAGCAGGACAGTAAAATTGAAACTGCGGCTTCTTCTGTTCCAGGACACATGCTCTGAAACGTCCTGCAAATACCTTGCCCTTCAGCGCTCCTTCAGGCCCGATGACGTTGTCGAAGATGTGTTTGGCGACGTGAGCGTCGACGGCAGACAGAGGGTCGTCCAGCAGATAGACGTCTGCTCCACTGTACAGAGCTCTGGCCAGACTCACTCTCTGCCGCTGACCGCCCGACAGATTGATGCCCTGCACACACAACCACACGCTGATTCATTCATGCAACTATTTGCAAAGAACTGCATTTATATAAAGACTATATTAGATATTAGTATATAGTATATATAGTCAAATATATATTATATCAAAGACGTTAAGATGTCCGCATCAAAAGAAATTTACAAAAGTGGTTTTATCTCCATAGAAAGCACATTAACTGTAAGTAAAGTGTCTACTTTTAAGGTTTCAAATTAGTTTTTGGAGAATAAAATGTAAATGTTTGGTTGAAATAATGTCACACTGTCATTCAGTGTAACACAATATTTATGTAAAAATTCAAACAACATGCTTATTCTGACGCACAGTAATTGCATTGAATTAATAATTCTATAAAATAAATGTTTGTATAATTGCACATTGATACTAACCCTTAAAACAAAGACTGTACTAAACTTAAGTTAATGTTTAATATGTTTATTAAGTTAATGTTGTGCTTACTAATTTATTAAATTATTTAGCAAATAATCAGATTTATATGAACATTTGCTGAGAAATGCCCAAAGGCCAAAAACATGCTTTGTATTTGATAATTACATTAATTGAACTGCTCTGGGAAAATAATATATATATATATTATAGAATTTATATACAGATCAAAGGTCTTGATTAAATGTTTATTGTTTAGGTTATTATTAAATAATATCAAATAAAAAAAATATTAGGTAAATTATAATATAATATAATATAATAATAAATTTTTTTTTAAATTAATTAATTCATTCATTTTTTTTATAATTTATAATTAATTAGCAAAAACAGTGTAAAATGTGTTCAAAAGTTGCATAATTGCATTACTTGAATTACTCGGATAGTAAGAAAATCATTTATTACAGAATTTATATACAGTTCAAACGGCATGAATAAACGTGTTAATATTTAAAAATGATAATTAAATAACACTAAACGCTATAAAATATTACAAAAATATATTTTTATATAATTAACAGTATTAAATGAAAGTGTTCGTCTGACAGCCCTAGCTACCAGATACCTAGCTATTTTAAATATTTAGCAAATAATCAGATTTATATGAACATTTGCTGAGAAATGCCCAAAGGCCAAAAACATGCTTTGTATTTGATAATTACATTAATTGAACTGCTCTGGGAAAATAATATATATATATATATATTATAGAATTTATATACAGATCAAAGGTCTTGATTAAATGTTTATTGTTTAGGTTATTATTAAATAATATCAAATCAAAAAAAATATTAGGTAAATTATAATATAATATAATATAATAATAAAAAAATTTTTTAAATTAATTAATTAATTCCTTTTTTTTATAATTTATAATTAATTTGCAAAAACAGTGTAAAATGTGTTCAAAAGTTGCATAATTGCATTACTTGAATTACTCGGATAGTAAGAAAATCATTTATTACAGAATTTATATACAGTTCAAACGGCATGAATAAACGTGTTAATATTTAAAAATGATAATTAAATAACACTAAACGCTATAAAATATTACAAAAATATATTTTTATATAATTAACAGTATTAAATGAAAGTGTTCGTCTGACAGCCCTAGCTACCAGATACCTAGCTATTTTAATTTTTAAAAGGTTTAATTACATGATATGCTTAAATTTATTGCAAATGATTGCATTTATATGAATATTTTTAAGCCTGTAATTTGCACTATGCTCAGAGAGTAAGTTACATATAACTTATATATATATGATTTTAAAATGATTATTAAAGTATATATAAAATGTTTACAGCGTGTTGTAAACTCATGCACAGCACCTTCTCTCCGATCTCAGTCTGGTCTCCTCCGGGAAGCACTTCCAGGTCAGGGGTCAGAGCGCAGGCCTCCAGCACGCAGCGGTACTTCTGCTCGGCGTACGGTCTGCCGAACAAGATGTTGTCTCGGAGCGTGGCGTTCTGGATCCAGGCCTGCTGCGGTACGTAAGCCACGGATCCCTGCAGAGGAGACGAGCGTCACACACGGCCTTCTCCTGAAGAAGCTCCCACAGATGAACTACACACCTGTATAGAGATCTGACCCTCCAGCTTCTCCATCTCTCCCAGCAGAGCACACACCAGCGACGTCTTCCCACAACCCACGTGACCCACGACCGCCAGCAGAGAGCCCTGCGGCACCATCACATTAATGCTGCAACACACCAGACTCAGTCAGCACTGCACTGAACCACCGCTAAACCTTTCAGGCCTTAAAGCATCTTACTTCAGCACAGCTACTTGACTACCGGATTCATTCTGCTATTTATTGATTGATTTGAATTAACTATATTATATTATATAATTTTTTATCTATTTTATGATATATTTTTTATTATTTTTTATTTTATATTTCATTTATTTTGTTATATTTTTCATTTTATTTTACACTTTATTTTTTGTTTTGTTAGATTTGTTTGTTTTATTTTATAATTTTATTTTATTTGTTTTTATTAGGTTTTATTTTTATAGAATTTTTTTGTCTTATATTTATTTTACATTTATTTATTTTAGTATGTTTTATTTTATTATATTTTATTTAGCATTTTACATAATTTTATATTACATTTTTTTATTTTATTGTATCAATTTATTACATTATGTTATATTAATATATATTATTTTTATTTTATCTATTTTATTATATATTCTTAATTATTATTATTTTATTTTTTTTTGTTAGATTTTATTTTACATTTCACATTATTTTATATTTAATTTTTTATTTTATTGTATCACTTTATTTATTATATTATATTAATATAAATTTTTTATTTCATCTATTTTATTATATATTTTTAAATATTGTTATTTTATTTATTGTGTTATATTTTTGTTTTATTTTATTCCTATTTTATTTTATACTTTATTGTTTTGTTAGATTTTTTGTTTCATTTTATTGTATTATTTTATCTTTATTTTATTTGTTTTGTTTTATTTTATATAATTTTATCTTATCTTTATTTTACATTTAATTTGATTTATTTGAGTATTTTTTATTTATATTTTACATAATTTTTTATTTTTATTTTATATTTTACTTTATTTTATGTCTTGTGTTCTGACTGTTGTGAATGCTTTAAGAAAGCAACTTTGAAAGGCGCTATATAAAGTTATTATTATAATTTTTTCTCTGTTCTTTATTTGATGCATAACCCTGCGTCCCTCACTAACTGTGCACATGCACATACTCATGCAAAAAAATGCATGCAAAGATTTTCACAGAAATGTTGATAGGTTGACAAGTTCGCACTTTTTTCTAAAGCATGACATTTAGAAACCACTCGCATGTGAAAATCCTTAAGAAACATCAACGCTGTCAGTATAAAATGCTTGTAATATACAGATATTGAATAGCGAAGTGATCCTAAAATAAGTCTTTTGTATGTCAGTGCAATAGAAATAATGTGCTTTATAGCTTTAGAATAAATTCTGCACAAAACTGCGGCTGAAATATAGTCGAGGTCTTTTATAAAAGTGGGTGTTTTGTTTTAATTACACTTTTGGCTTTACTGTAAATGAAGTAAAGGATGTTGTGCACAAAGCCCATATATGGAGATAGTGGGTGTGTATTATGCTAATGAGCATCTGCTGAACACCAGTCTTACTTGTCGAGAGCGGCCTGGTCTTGTTTGGCCCATGAGAATTTCCCGTTCACGACGCTCACGGCGTATTCTGACGAGAGAGAAAGCGTGAGTCCGCTGAACTGAAGGAGAGGAAACCTGCAGACAGCAGGGCTTTCACAATGACTCAGCATGAGAAGAGTGTGGGCTGTTACCTGACGCGTTGTTTCTTCTGTCCACGCTCTCGGGATCGAGCTCATCGTGACTCAGGAAGCCCTGGATGCGTTTCAGAGACACGCTGGCCTGACGGACGATCACACACAAAACTATCAGACAGTTATTACAGGTGAATATTACAGTAAACTATCAAAACAAGCAAACGATCAGAACTCAACCTGCATCACAGCTTTCTGTGTACGTCACTACTGATTCATTATTAGAGACAAATGATGACAAGGCCAACAGGTGATTACATATTAAATAACATTATATATATACATAGAGAGAGAAATATATATATATATATAAGTCTTAAATATATACTGTATGTGTGTGTATTTACATATTTATTTTGGATGGGATTAATCGATTTGACAACCCTAATATCTTATAATATCTTAAGCCCTAATATCTTAATAATCTTATAACCTATATTTTTTTCACAACTTTAGCTCTGTATGACAAATGCCGGCAGAAAAGCAGAAAATAATGTATTATTACAAATAAATAAAAATTAAAAAATGTAAAAATAATTAATATATACAGTATATATATATATATATATATATTCTTTTTTTATTTAAAATACTATATTTATCTTTTTGACAACTTATGACATACATACATATATTATTATGACAGATGCTGGCAGAAAAGCTGAGGGGTCTGAATACTTTCCGTACCCACTGTATATACAGTATATATAATAATAATTTATGCATTTAGCAGACACTTTTATCCAAAGCGGCTTACAGTGCATTCAAGCTATACATTTTTTACCAGTATTTACCAGTATATATATATATATATATTTTTTTTTTTAATACTGATTTTCTGCCATACTCGCCAGCTTCCGTGACATTGCTCTAAAGTTGTCTTCCAGTAATGTTAAGGAAGGCTCACTTGTACGATGCTGCTGATGACCTGCGGAAGCATGTTTAACGGGAACCTCAAGATGTTGAACAGAGACAGAGACACGAAGGCCTTCTCTGCGTCCAAGATATTGTTCACATCCACAGTCACGAACACAGCAAACGTGGTCAAAGCCACCTGCACAAGACAATCATACAAACCTACAAGAGTCAAACGGATCAAACGCAAACAAAGGGCCGTGTTTCTTCTGCACTTTGAGCTTATTAATCACGCCGGCTAATGCACTTCTGAAACACGAGCCGGCAACTCGAAGCCTAGATAGGGATCCAGCGCATCATTAGGCATATCAGAGATAAGATTCTGCATTTCCATCAGACACACGAAACCGCAGAGAAAGAGATAAGTTACCAGGAAGGGCGCGCTGGTCCAGGCCATGGTGGAGAGAGCGCTGAGATACGATGCCTTACGCAGAACGTGCAGCTCCTTCTGCCGGATCTGCAGGATCTTCTGCTTGAAGGAGGTTTCCCAGGCGTACAGCTTCAGCACCTTGATGCCGTTCAGAATCTCGTTCATCAGCTTGATGCGCTCGTCCTTATACTTCATCTGCTCCACCTGTGCAGTTTTTATTCATTATCACATTAGCTTTTATTTTTCTACTTTGCATTTTAGTTTTAGTTTTAGTTAAAGTTTTGGTCATTTTGTTGGGCATTTCTGATTTTTTTATATAAATATAAAATTTAATTTATTTTTATTCATTTAATATATAATTTTATTACTATTTCATATATTCAATTTAATATATAATTTTTATATTTTTTATTAATATTTTATTTCATTTCAGTTATAGATAAGTACATCAAATTAAACTAAATGAAAATGAGAAATGTTGCCTTACATTTAATATAATTTAGAAAATAATTTTACCTCACTTTGAAAAAAAAATCTATATTATATATGGTGGTCTCATACAAATGTACATATAATTTAATTTAATTTAACATTTTAATTTAAT